GACTCTGCCTTTAAAATATGTATGTGTTTTGATTTGTAGAATAACAACAGCAACAACACAGATATTCTACGTTTTATAAGTAGTCCTGTCCATGTGGTTGCCTGATGTAGTTCTGTTACATTAGAAATCTCTTTGCTCTGCTGCAGTTCTCATTCATCATGGACTGACTCTGTGATTACGTATATAAATGGGAATTGACTTTTATTTGGGTTTCTAGAATTCACCTAATTTTCCTGCTGGCCGGTTCCTTCTTTTCCCCATCAACAAAACCGACAACGATCTATAAATCAGTTGTCCCATTTCTACAAATCATCTGGAAAATGGCACATTTGTTCTTGTTTGCTACTTTATCAGTGTTGTATCTGTTGAGTTTGCCTTTGTGCCAAGGTTTATTAGAGATTTCTGGCTTACAGAGATTTCTCATATAGCATGTGTTTTTCATGTATTAAATCTGTAAGTGTTGGGATATAGTATCTATGCCAGATCTTCTTGAATCACATTATTCTTGTTTCTGAGGTTGGGAATGAACCTCATGAATGCTTGCTCACACTTCTCTTGACATAAATTCTTGTGGGCATGTGTTAGTCTTTAAGGTGACTCATCTGGTTTCTTTTTGTTTTTTTGCTGTAGCAAACTAATACCACTATTCCACCCTCTAAATATACAGCCACCATGATGAGAGTTGGAGCCTCTATTTGAGAGAAACAAAGACCAGATTTTTCAATATACTAACATGATCCTCTTGCACAAGAGAGTCTAGAGTCTCTTTTTGAGAGAGACAAAGACCAGATTTTTCAATATACTAACATGATCCTCTTGCACAAGAGAGTCTAGGACCTACATGGCCTACTGTTAACATAGATTGTGAACCACTTATACTGATGGCATTGACTGACTTGCATTATGACTGACCCCTAGTGAAGTAATTATGGAAATATTCTCCATGTATGTCTCTCTTACAACCTCTTCACTGTGTGCTAAAATGTAATCTGGACCAGAAAAAAATAAATAAGCAGTCAACAGCAGGCAAAATTAGGAGAACAAGGCAAGGGTAGTATTTGTTTTGTTACATATGGATTAAGATGTTGAGTATTCAGAGGAGAAGGGAGAGAGAGAGGAGTCTGTAGAGCAAGTAAGTCTCCAAATATTTTCCAGCTGGTGGGCTCACATGCTATTTTTATTTCCTCTCTGCCATCTCCCCACCCCCACTTCCTAAGCTGCTTCAGCAAAGATACAGAAAACATAAATTTCCCTTCTCTTTCCACATTCCAAGACCATTTCTTCCTAAATGTTCAATGAAATCATCGCACACAAAAACAAAAATAGATCACGATTTAGAACACAATTCTATATTGTGTCAGTGGTTCCGTAAGCATATCTCACACAGAGACTGGACAGAATGAGTTACAAATAGCCAACTACTTGCAATTAACTGATTTTCCTTGATCCCGTCAGCTAACCCAAAAGACTAATTAATCTGCCAATTGCTAATTTGATCCTCAATTGCCAACGTAGTCTTCATAGCCGAACACTAAATGGCAACATTGAAACCCAGAGCATTTTGCTAAAAATAGCTTTTTGCTAAAGAAAGAAAGAAAGAAAGAAAGAAAGAAAGAAAGAAAGAAAGAGAGAAAGAAAGAAAGCTGTCAGCAGGATAACATCACTCCTTTTCCAGTGTGCTTATTTTGAAGTTACTGTATGAAGAGGTGACACAAAGGAAAAGAAAGACTATTGCATTGCTCAAGTGCTGTCTCACCCTGCTGCATTCAGATGTAGTTTTCCTATTTTTAAATGTTCCTGTTCTAATTACTTTAAGAAATGGCATGTAAAATGTTATTTATAACAACTGCATATGTAACAATAATCAAATACATCTGCAGGGTTGGATTTTGTTGCTCTAGATCAGTTATTCCCAAACTTGGGTCCCCAGATGTTCTTGGACTAAAACTCTCAGAAGTCTTCACCGCTAGCTGTGCTGGCCAGAATTTAAACATCTGGGCACCCAAGGTTGGGAACCACTGCCCTAGATAACTCATTGCCTTTTTTTTGTAAGTAGCAGAAACATTGTACACAAGAAGCAAATGTATGCAGATTTGTACAACTTAATCTGATACAGCCTTTAGGCTTCCCTGGGAGAATTTGCCTCTTTTCATGCAATTGCTAGGGACAAAGAGACAGGAAGAGGCATACACATGTGTGCACATAGGTTTGGAATGTGCATACTTTGCATGATCCTTTGCACATGCATGCACGAGGAATAGGCTCAGGTTAAGGATATACTTCCATAAGTAGCATAAGAACTCCCAGAAGTACAAGCTGAATTTCAAAGGGGCAGAGGAACTAGAGACCAAATTGGTAACATGCGCTGGATTATGGAGAAAGCCAGAGAGT